TTTTTTTTTTTTTTATACATAAGTTTCGTTTTAATTGGTTTTAATACCTATTGAATTTTATATATGTGACAGTGAGGGATCTAGAAAATTTACTCAGGGGACTCAATTTTAAATGTCAAATAGCGAGCTGGTAATTTAAGTCGGAACGCTAATTTCATACAAAAATATGTTTACTTATCATTATAAATATCGATATGTACACCATCAAATTTTTAGATGCTTAGAAACTTAGCGTTCGTATGACCCTTAAAAAATACGTTTTTTGGTTGAATTTTGATTTTTTGAAGTTTTACAACACACTGTAGCATTTTGTTGATGAAAGCTTATTAAATGACCATTTTCAAGAAAAAATAAATAAAGTTAAAAATGTTTTTACACAAAAAAAAAAGGTAAAAAAAAAACATTAAAAAATCTAACAATTCAACTAAATACTCGATTTTATAAATCACTAATTCGGTTTACAATTCAGAGTTGAAATAATAAATCATTATAAATATCTTAAAAAACTTATCTAAAAATATTAACTATAAGGGTTTTTTGTATATTTATTAATAAATAAATAATATATTAATTTAAATTAAAATAGGATAGAAATTAAGTTTTAATTATCAATATATCTATTATTATTATTATTATTATAATTATTTTGCATTTTTATCCATCTTTCATAGGATTTTCTTTTTATATGTATGTTCTTTTAAAAAAAAAATCAGAGAGGCCCCTGGACCTCATGTAGGTATGTCATTGTATGTTTACAATTGATATCAATTATAATAAAGACAGCGAATTTAATGGGTAAATTCAAGGAGTATAGAGTAACTGTAGGAGAAAAGATCAAGCATGAAAATAGGTATTATGGTATCTAAGGAAGAGATAGCCAAATCCCCATATATTAATCCAGAACGCGCTGAGCTTACGTGGCTGTTTATGGTGCTTCGAAATCCTATGTGGCAAAATTATATGCTTGGGTAAATTTTAATTTAATTCCAAATTAAAAATAATTAGGTTCGGATTACCATAAATATGTTGATTATTTATGGTCATGTTACATGTATTAATTGCATTTTAATATCATTCCTTATTATAACTATTGAATTGTATATATTTTTTAAAAGTTAATAATTTTTGTATTTTTTATCAGTTTTACATATGTAATATATCAAATTAATCTTCTTTTGATGAGTTTCGAATTAACATCCATATTGTATGTATCAAAAATAATAATTTATATTTATCTTTATAACAATAATAAAATTATTTTTAATATCAATTAGAAAAATAAAATTACTTATCAACTAATATATTTATATTACATGTAGTTATATGATATAAGTTATAAAAACTAATATAGTATAACACATGTAAGCCATAAGTAACACATATCATTCTAAAATATATAGTAATATATTTTTTTTGTAAAAAAGTAAACTAAATTTAATATAATTTTCTCATTAATTTTAAAATTTAAGAATAATTTTTTAACCAGCACCCGTGTAATACACGGGTGTTGTACTAGTAATAAAAAAGAGATCAGAAAAATGAATAAGTAAAAGAAAATGTGTATATATATGGTGTATGTGAGCATGGGTCGGTGCAGTTCGGAGATTGATAAATCTCCAGAACCGTATCAAACTTCGGAGATCCCAAAATTCGATCTCCAGAACCGTACCAAAAAGTCGATTCGGTTCGGTTCGTTTCAGAGATTTTTATTTTTCGGTTCGGTTCTGTTCGGTATTCGGGACTATTTGGACGGTTCGGTTCGGTATGGTTTGGTTCGGATCTTCGGAGATTTTTTATTTTTTTTATTTTTTTTATTTTTGAATGACTACCTAGTTATATTTTAATTTTTATATGCTTTAAAAAAACAACATTCATCAATAATTCATCATTTTTATTTTGAAATCAATTCTAGAAGTAACTCTAAATTTTAGTTATTTAATTTTATATGAATTAATAAAACGAACATTCATCAGTACTTCCTCACATTAAAGATTTTATTTGAAATCAAATTTTTAAGTAACTCTAAATTTTAATTATAACTAAATTTGTGCAACTAATATTGAAAATTTAAAATTCAAATCAAATATAATATTTTTTTTCTTAAAAAAATAATTTTTAAACTTTCATATTATTTTTAAATAATTATTTTATAATAGAAAAAAATTCAATTGTAGATTGAGTATTACTAAGCATGAAATTTAAGTGAACTTTAATATTTATTACTATATTATATAGAAGCAAAGTCGACATAACATATATTAATAACACATCTAATGTTATAATTCGGTTCTTAATTTCAGTTATTCAGTTCGGTACAGTACGAGACTGTTCGGTTCGGTTCTCGGTACGGATAGTTGTGAAATCTCCAGAACCGTACCAATTATTTTTTTCGGTTCGGTTCGGTTCGGGGAAAGTCAAACGGTCAACGTTATTTTTCGGTTCGGAGTGAATTCGGTTCGGTTTTCGGAACGGTTCGGAATTCTCCGAGTCTCATGCTCAGCCCTAGGTGTATATTAGTAAGAAAGTTGTTTTTAGCATATTTTGATGAATTTTCCGATGTGTTTTCTAAAGTCTTGAAGGTCGAGTTTATACATGGATAAAGTAGAAAAATAATGATGGTTATGTGCCAACTAAGGGTGTGAGTGAGTTACACAGGATGATGAGACGATAGGACGGTCGCTATAACGGTTTATGTTAGTCGTTCCTGTTCACAGCCTGCAGAGAAATTAACAAAAGGTGTCAGCTTATAGATATGCTCTACACCGAAGAGAGACCCAAAGCCAAAAAAGCCTCAAGCCTCGTCGCCGGGAGCAGCCACCACCGGACCCCATTCAGGCCGGAAAGAGGTCCGGTGGTGGCGGCTCCCGCCGGTGAGGCTTGAGGCTTCTTGTGCTTCGGGTCTCTCTTCAGTTTAAGGGATTTTGGGAAACTCATATCCGAGCTTGAGTTTGGCTCCCCACCAAATTTGCATAGTCATTCGAGTGATCAAAGTTTATGGGATTGGGAGATGTAGATCTGTTGATCCCTCTTCGTCCTTTGATCTGAAGACTGGCGCGTGTGTTTTGAACTAGTAGCAACTGTCGGAAGCCCTCTAGAAGTATGAGAGGTTGTATTTTACTTTTTTAGGTGTGTGTTATTTTTATTTTTTGTTTGTGTTTTCGTTCAGTTCAGGTTGTTTGGGTTTCGTCTCCTGTATTAGGAGTTTGTTGTCTTCTATTTTAGAAGTGTTTCGGTTGTAGGCTGTTCCTTTGGCCATCTGTGTAAGTCCAAGAGAATTCGGGTCCAGACTAGTTCTGATCTTTGTGATGTCAGTTGACATTCCTGTTGTACACGGTTTTTTTTTTTT